ATTAGATTGCTTTATAGCAGAATAACTGGTTGATTAAAAGGAGGCAGAGTGGCGACTGGAAATCTTGAGAGTAGGTTGACCTCTTTGAGAGTTTGTTCAAATATTTATTGAGCACCCACCAAATGCTGTGCACATCTTGGAAGGCAGGAACCTTCTTTGTCTTAATCACTGCTCTATCTTCAGCACCTAGCATAGGATTGGATGTTTGGGAGGTCCTCAATAAGCATTTGTTGGTGGAATGGATGGAATGCACATTTGTGTTGCGTCTGGCACTGTGCTAGGCCCTTAACATACATTCTTTATTCTGGACACCATTTTATGAATTAGAAAACTGAGGCTTAAGAGGTTTTAATTTTGCTCAAAGTCAAAAAGCCGGTGTGACAGAAGTCGCAGGGCTGAGATTTCTATCTTGATTCTTTCCATCCCACAGGGATGATTAAGAGCACAGGCTGAAGAGTCTAACTGACCTGAGTTTAAATTAAAATTCCACCACTTCCAAGCTGAGTGACCTTTAAAAATTTATTTGAACCTCTCTACCCAAGTGTCTTCTGTGGAGTTTGTAACCGCTCATTGGGATCACCTTGCCTGCTGCCCAGATAAAGCCAATTTATCAAGACGGGGGAATTGCAATAGAGAAAGAGTTTAATTCATGCAGAGCTGGGTAAGTGGGAGCCAAGTTTTATTACTCAAATTGGTCTCCCTGAAAATGTGGAGACTGGTTTTTTTTTTTTAAAGGATAATTTGGCAGATACGTGGCTAGAATAGTTGGGAGTACTAATGGGTTTGGCCGGAATTGAAATCATAGGGGGTCAAAGTGGGTTCTTGCTGTCTTCTGTTCCTGGGTGAGCCAGGACTGGTTGAGCTAGATTATCAGTCTGGGTGGCTCCAGCTGGTGCATCAGAATGCAGGGTCTGAAAGATATCTCAACCACCAATCTTAGGTTTTACAATAGTGATTTTATCCCTAGGAGCAATGGAGAGGTTCAAATCTTATGGCCTCTGGTTGCATAACTCCTAAAGAGTAATTTCTAATCTTGTGGCTATTTGTTAGTCCTACAAAGGCAGTCTGGAATCCAGGCAAGAAGGGAGTTTGTTTCAGGAAAGGGTTATCATCATCTTTGTTTCAAAGTTGAAATATAAACTAAGTTCCTCTAAAAGTTAGTTTTGTCTTTGCCCAAGAATGAACAAGGACAGTGTGGAGGTTAGAAGCAAGATGGAGTCAGTTAGGTCAAATCTGTTTCACTGTCATAATTTTTGCAAAGGTGGTTTCAAGTTTTGGTGAAGATTAAATGGAGATAAGGTTTGTGTGGCACTGAGCACACTCTCTGGTGCATAATAAACCTCCACATATCAGTGATTATTAGCATTGTTATTATCCATGCTAGCAATACCAAGGACATGGTTGTAGGAGTAGAATCCCAGAGTAGAGATGGTGGTTATTGAAGTCAGGTAGGATGAGGAATGAGGCTAGCAAGTAGTGGATGGGTCATCCTCATTCCACAAGGCAATAGGAGATAGGTGTGGACAAGAAGACTGAGTCAGGAGGTGGATTTCTAAGTGAATATTGGAAAATGAGGAGGAGATTGGTAGACAATAGTGAGAAAGGATAGAAGTTACTGTAGGTGACTCTCATCCTCAAAGGAGGAGGAATGGATTCTACATGACTTTGGAAATGGAGTCATCTGGAGGAATGATAGGGAGATCTAGCCAGACAACCCTGGCTCTCAGTACTCCATGGGAGCACGGGAGCTACAGGGAGAATTCCAAGAAGTAGAAGATTTCAGATCCCCATATGTAAAAGTCTTTCAACAGCATACATTAATTCAGCAAATAGCCATGAAACACGTAGCACAGGCCAGGCACTGTTCTAGGTACTAGGGATACAACAGTGAATAAAATAGTCAAGGCTCCCTGCCTTCATGGAGCTTACATTTATTTTTACATAGGATTTGGCAGAATGTAAGGGCCAAGTAATACATGCAGGCCTTGATAATTCCAGAAAGTATTAATCCAAAATCGTTTCTGTTCATTCCAAAGTTTTAAAGCCATAATTTTAAAGCAAAAATTTGGGTGGAGCGTTTGATGCAGGAAGGATTTGGGGCTTTTTTCTTAATGTTTTCAGACTGTTTCTAAACCAGATCTATTTAGGGGAATCTTACAAACTGTGCTTTCAAAATCTTTTTAGTCATGTGTTTGAGAGTTCTGGGTATGTAGACAACAACAGACCTCATTGAGGCTGCAGCCCCTTGTTCAATTATGTATCTCCTCTACCTGAGAAGAATAACTGCTTGCTCAGACATCTGGGTTCTATGGTTCTAAATCTGAGCACTAAGTACAGTCATGTATCACTTAACGATGGGGATATGTTCTGAGAAATGCCTTGGTGGTGATTTCGTCACTGTACAAACATGGTAGAGGTACTCACACAAACCTAGATGGTACAGCCTACTGTACACCTAGGCTATATGGTATACTGATTGCTTCTAGGCTACAAACCTGTACAGAATTCTGTCGTCTAACACAGTAAGTATTCATATATCAAAACATATCTAAACATAGAAAAGGTACAGTAAAAATAACAGTGTGGTAATCTTACAGGACCACCACTGTATGTGTGGTATGTCATAGACTGAAACTTTAGGTGGTGTATGACTCTACCAAAAAAACAAAAATGAAATTGCATTATGCAGTTCATGACTATACAAAAAAAAACATGCAACAGGAATCAGGTCACTGGAACTGGAAGTGATGGAGAACATGTAAATCAAAAAGTCTTTGGAGGGTGAAGAGCAGATACAGATGGGAGAGTTAATGTGAATGGAGGCAAACAATGTCTGCCTGCTATGTAAGAATGTCTTTTTTTTTTTTTTTTTTTTTTGAGACAAAGTCTTCCTCTATTGCCCAGGCCAGAATGCAGTAGCATGGTCATAGCTCACTGCAGTCTTCACCTCCCAGGCTCAAGCAATCCTTCCACCTCAGCTTCCTGAGTAGCTAGGATGACAAGTGTGTACTAGCACACCTGGCTAAAAATTTTAATTTTTTGTGGATATGGGGTCTCCCTGTGTTGCCTAGGCTGGTCTTCAACTCCTAGGCTCAAGCGATCCTCCCGCCTTGGCCCTCCCAGTGTGCTGGGATTACAGGCATGAACTACCATGCCCAGCCAAGAGCGACTTTTGGAAATTCTTTCTTTAAAAAAAAATCACTCTTCATCTATGTTAAAATGCTGTGGTATTTCATTGCCCAGCATGCAGAATACAGGGAGAAGCTGGTGGAATATTATCAAATGTATTTAAACATGTGACAACGTTTTACTTAGCTTCCAATTACTAGTAGACTTCAGAGGGCAGAAGGTTGCCAACTCATTCATCTGGTCATTACTTATTTTGACCAAAAGCCCACGAGAATATATACTAAAAGAATAAAGCTTTCATTACCATTTAATGTTTTTCCTTAAAGCCTTATTTTAATACTGTGAAACCAGATTTCAGAGAATGTCATAATTAAGATTTTCATAAAAAGAAATATTTAATACTATTTAAACATATAATGACTCCCAGTGCTACCTGAATTCATTCACATCATAAACCAACTAAAATGGGCTTTAATCTCTACGGTGACCATGCTGCCTTTACTTAACCTTAATATACCACTATCAAGACCAATTTATGAGCCACACTAAAATAATTATCATTGTTTTATTATAATTTCACCTTATTAACCAGAAATGTTAATCTGGTTAATCATCTACCGTATTCACCAGACTGAATAATTGGCAGTTCTTTTAAAAAATCAAATGTATCCTGGAAAGAGGGGTATTTGCCAACTCAAGGATGTTTTAAAGAATGTGCTGGGGACTCATGGCCACTCTAAAAGAGGAGTTCCAGAAATGCTGAAGCATTTTGGGAATAACTGTATAGTCTTCCAGGTCTTCTACTTTGAAGAGAAAATGCCTTAGATAGATAGATTTGTATATACCTTTGGGATTCATCAGATTACTTTGTAGTCACAAGTCAGATTGAGTTTTGACTGGCGCAGGTCATTTGGCAACTATTTGATAGAAAAATATTAAATAGTTCTATCGGAAAGAGAATGTCTTGGCAGATCTCTGAGGCTTGTGTGTAGGTGTTCTCAGGAATCCTCCCGGGGAGCCTGCTTTTGTGGGTTCCTTGGGAATGGTTTCAGGTGAGCAGCAGGAGCCCTCAAGGCCAAAGAGGCTGAAATGCGTTAAGTAGGCTGAAGTCAGGTGACGCGCCACAGCCACCATATCCTAACAGTGGACAAGTCACTCTCTGGTACCTATTTTCCTAATCTATCAAATGATGGAGTTGGACTGAACAAGGGCTGCATTTCTTTCTGGGATTTTCTGGAAACGGGGATCATATCCATGCTTTCGTTGGAGATTTTATTTTAACTAAGGAAGCTGAATGCTGAAGGAGAGGAATTTTGTCTACGAACAAAATTTTTTATCATAAAAGTAATTCATACTTTGTGTAAAAAATTATAACAATGCAGAAGTGTATAAACAGAAAGTAAAAACCTCTTCCCTTAACTCAGCACTCAGGTTTATTGTTCTGTATATCCTGAACAGAACATTCAGGCTCGCACTAGCCATCTTTGAGGCAGTAGTTAAGACTCTAAATCTTTTCCTATGTTTTAATGGTTCTTACAGTTGGTGAGATGGAAGAGTAACATTTGTGGAAGTCTTTTTCCTTCTAAAAAGGAAATTCAGATCATCTAGCCCATATAAATCCATATGAAGAAGTTAAGTTCCAATACTTGAAAATAACTCATACTAACTAGAGTAATATAAAAATTGCAAAAGACAAAAGAAAATACATTAAAATGTTAATAGCAGTTTTACAGAGGTGACAGGATTTTGAGGTATTATTTTTTCTGTTCTTCCTCGATTGAGGCAATACATTTTGTGTTACTTGTATAATAAAAAAGATTTACATACCAGAATAGTTGGTTGATTGGCTTCAAACCAAACAGTCCAATAACTGATGCATTAAATCTTTATTGACTAAACAGCTTAAAAATTATTACTGCTATTTCCTTTATTTGTTGTGAATTTTACTCAGAATTAAAGATAAATGATTATATTAGTAATTACAGGAAAACTAGTAAAAATCTTAAAGACATTGAATGGGTTAATGTACTGAGCAGCTATGGAATGCAAGGCACTGTGGGAGTGGGGTGAGTCTACTCCCCCCCAAAGGCTCAGGGTCTGGCAGGGGAGGTGAGATAAAAACCCATAGCCATACACTGGCTGGCCTGTCCTGAGGGTTGTGAGACAGAATGCTAGGAGACCAGAGAAGAAAGAAATGTCTAGATGTGAGGAAAAATCAAGGAAAGCATGGTTTTAGAAAATGGGTGGGATGTTTTTTGTACCGAGAGACTGAAGAGGCTTTTTAAAGTGGAGGGAAGGCAAACTGTGGCATAAAGATGCCAATACCAGGTCTTATCAGGATGAACAGAGTCCAATTTGGCTGGAGCATAGGGCATATGTAGGGGAAGGGAGAGGACTGGCACGGGGGCAGAAGGGGACTTGAATGTCAGGTGACAGTCAAAGCTTGCACTCTAATAAGTAGGTGATTGATAGGTGATCTTGGGGACTTTTGAGCAGGAAGAGTGGATAATAAATCAATACTGGCTTAGGACAATCCCTTTGGCTTTGGCCAAATTGTGACTCAGGTAAGGGACAGTTGGGGGAGACAAGGATGGGAATATGCATGATAAATGGGCCCTATGCTTGGCAGGAAGGCAGTGCAATATTTTGTAGAAATAGACTTAGCAGAGCAGGCGCCCAGCATTCAGTGAGACCGCAGTTCAAACCCCATACAGACTCTTAGCTGCTGTATGACTTGAAGCTGTTAGTAACTCCCCTGAACCTGTCTCATCTACAAAATGGGCATAGTAGCACCTATGTCATAGGGTTGCTTCATGGCAGGTAATTATTCTTGTAAAGCATTTAGCACAGCTCTGACAACACATGGTGAATGCTCAGTAAATATTAATGTCACTAATTCCAGTCAATTCCATTAACTGGAATTAATTAGTTGGAGTTAGGAAGGAAACAGGTGTCAGCTGGGTCGACTGAGGGAAGCAGAGATCTCAGGAAGCAGTACATGGTGGTACGGTGGGAGCATGGCATCTGTGAGGGAGACTGTCTGCAGTGGGATCCCACCTCTACTGCCGGCCAGCTGTGATCTTCTATAGGCTACTTAACCCTTCTAGCTCAGCACAATGTTACCATGGAGCTGGTGTGAGAGTAAAGTGAGATAATTAATGCATGTTAAGTGTGTCGTATGTGCCTGATACATTGTTAGTGCCCAGTAAATGTTAGTCATCAGGTGAGAGGTGTGATGTGGGGTTGAATAGATTCGCCTCTTCCACTCACAGAGGCAGGATGTGCAAGGAGGAGTGGAGACATGCAGGAAGGGATTGGGCATGAAGGATCAGGCCCGGGGAGAACACCCGGCCTGGAGATATTCAGGAGTCCCTGGCCCAGAGGAGATTACAATTCTGCAGGGAGATGAGCCACGAGTGGAGTATTAGATACAGGCCTAAGGAAGCAATCAGACACTTCCAGAATAAAGGACATTTGCTAAGACAGCTGGCCTGGTTGCTTAACAAAGTGTCATGGGAAAATATGTCGGGATTGTTCTAGACTAAAAGTGACTAGAGTTGAAACCAAAAGAATGTATGAACTTTGATGGGACCTGGGTTTTTTTTTGTTTTTGTTTTTGTTTTTTTTTTTTAAAAGACAAACATTCTGGAGACAATTGTTGAATACTGATTAAGGGCTCTATATTAGAGGTTATAAAGAAGTTACTGTTTATATTTTTAAGCATGATAATCTTATTGTAATCACGTAGAACAATGTCTTTGTTCTCAGGAAATCTATGTGGAAATACTCAGGGGTGAAATGTCATTTTATGTACACATGCATGGGGTGGGGAGAACAGTAAATCTGGCAAAATGTTAACTATTCAATCCAAGTGGAGAGTACGTATCTGAGTATTCATTGTGCTAGCCTTTCAACTTTTTCTGGATGTGTGGAATTTTTCAATATAAAAAAAGAGGGAAATAAAAGAGGCCTGTGAAAAATCTGGGAACCAGTATACAACAGGAAAAGGAATTCTTTGGAGGAAAAACACGATCCACCTACCAAGAGAGCAATTTCAAGAAGGGAGAGATTAAGCAAAATAGAGGCTGCAAATAGATCATATTTGGTCACTGAGAGATTGTGGCGGCTTGGAAATAGTCCACTGTAGCACAGAAAACTGAACCAGAGTGAAGGAGTAAAAACTGGGGAGGAAGTATAGGCAGCAAGGACTTGTTGGCCCTTCTGGGTTAAGTCTTTCTTTTCAGTAAGAAAGGGAGACTGAGTATTGATGAGGAAGATCCTGGGGGAAAGGGAGGGACTGAGACAGCGAAAGGGAATACTACAGGAGGAAAGACCCAGTAAACATGGGCGAGGAATGGGATGGAAAATGACAGGAAGATGTGGCCTTATGCGAAGGGATGCTTTCCCCTTCAGCCCAGAGGTGAGGACTATGACGATACGTGGGGAAGAAACCCTCTTCCTAGTGACAAGGGGATGAGGTGATGTCTTGCTAAGGTGGCAGATGTGAGGCCTGAAAGTGGACATATGTGCCACACTTGTCGTTAGGTCTGAACCAAGGGAAAGATGGCCGAGGGGAGACAGAGTGCACCTGGTATTGGTTGAATAATACGGGGAGTAAAAAAGGGGGCTCTTTGGGACTGCCCCGATGAGGGCTAGAGATGATGCGGGTCTACAGCAGTCACGGAAACTGGAGGGGACATCCCTCCGACCCTTCAGAACTTGGTGTTGGGCAGATTATGCATTAGAACTCTTTTTTTGGGTAAAAAGCTTTCTCATTTCCCCGCACCCTCCACCTTGGGCTGTTGGAGGCACATGGCGTGATAAGTCTTTGGTATGGAATGAAGCGCTCTATCCTTTCAAAGTCACCAGGTTCGGGTTCCCAGCCCTAAGTGGTCATGGCACCAGGGGGTCTGGGTTCACGGGGCTGTTGCAGCTCTCGGGTGTTCCGTGTGCCACCCCATCCCTTGCATGCATGCCCACGAAAGGCCGCCCAGGCACCCCAGGTGACCCCATGGAAGTGAGTTTTGGTTCTGCTCTGGCTTCGAAGTGCTTCTCAAGCTGAAGCCTTCGGGCGCGGAAGGCCCTACAGTTAGCTGGAGCTTCCAAGTGAGTAGCGGCTGCTTCGGGCCTGGCTTCGGTGCCAGCGGGGGCTGAAGGCGTTGGTCAGAGAAGCGCTGGCCTGGGGTGGGGAAGTGGCCACACCCCTACAGGAGGACCTTTGTGATGACGCAGCTGTCCCTGTCCCCCTCGGGGTCGTCCTTGAGCGGCAGCGCAGTGGGAGCCCAGCCCAAGGCGCCCTCACGGCGGCTCACTTCCCGCAGCCGCGCCTGCAGCGCCTCCCGCTCGGCCTGCAGCTCCCGGCGCGCCTGGGCCGCGGCGCGCTCTTCCTCCTGCAGCGCCCTCCGCCTCCGCTCCAGGGCGCGCTCACCCTGCTCCACGGCCGCCTCACGCCGCTCCAGCTCCCGCTCCCGCCGGCTGCCGCGCACGGCCAGTGCGCCCATCTGTTCCAGCAGGCGCGCCCAGTCGCCCTCGGGGGCCGCAGCGGGGACGGGCGGCGGCGGGCAGGGCGCGGCAGGTGGTGAGCGCCGGGCGCCGCTGCTCTCCAGCTCCCGCCGGTGCGCGCTCTTCAGGTGCCTCCACAGCGCCGAGGTCCCTGCGTGGAAGCCCGGGCCGCGGCCCACCTGCTCCCCGCACAGACGGCAGGTGGCCCAGTGGCCCGACGGATGCCCGGGGCGCCCCGGGGCCAGGTGGAAGTAGCCCCAGGCCTCGGAGTATGGCGCCCCCAGGCGGCCGGGAGGCATCGGCGCCGGCTCCAGTCCCGGACACTGACCGCCCCGTGCCGCCGCGTCGTCTAGCCCGCGGGCCTCGTCCATGGTGCAGGCCGGCTCGCCACTCCTCATTCTGCGGCGCCCGCACGCTGGGGAGCAGGGGAAGAATAATAATGAGTGTTAGGATCACGCACACAGCTTCTAGACTACAGTTAGTCTGAGAAAGCATGCCGCCCTCCATTTTCTTACCGATAAAAATCCTATAGTGTGGGTAGGTGTCTAGGTTTCTAGTTAATCTTCAGTATTAAGTGTTGATTCCTCAGGAAAAAAACTGTTAAAAATGTCTAGCCCTTCCTATACTAGGAATCCTCTTTGAAATCAAGTGGATCCCTAGTCAACAAGTATTTCTGCTAATAGCGGGAGGCTAAGCTGCTTGAACGGAAAGAACTGGCTAACTCCGTGCAGTGTCTGTGTTAGCTCTAACTAGTCTCTCCTTTCTTAACAATAACAACAACAATAAAAAAGGTACTGTCTTCAGAATAACAGCGAGGCTTCCTTATGCTGTCTTCTCTGGGTGCTGCACAGCACACTTCAGCAATGACCAGAAAAAAAGCTTTGGGAATGAAAATTTTGTTGCTTAAACTTCAGGAGTGGAAGAGCCAGTGGTGAACAGCCTTTTAAAAAGCTTTCAACGACTGTATGCTTTTCAAGATAAAAATATGTTTTTCTGATTATAAAAACAATCTACCATGAGAAAATCGGCAGTACTGAAAGCAATGCTTTTAAGATATGCACATTTAGGAAATGGCAATGTCCAAAGCAGCACTCTAAAGTTTTACCTTTAAATTAGACAGTGGGTCATTTCCCAAGGACTCTGGGGTCCCTGTCATTGCCTCAGGGTTTCCAACCATCTCAGGTTCCACGGGTAGAAACAATGCATGCAACACGATTCCTGAGTTCCGAAGAACCATCAGCAGTGCTAGGAGTAAATTCAGAGGACAGGCAGGCCAGTGAAAGAAATGCATTCAAACCACCTTAAAGATAGATACTAGAAATAACGAGCAGCGCCATGCCCTCGTTCACTTTTTCTAACCCTTTCATAGATACCCAAGGAATAAAACAAATAAAATTAGTTTTCTTTATTGTTTGTGCTAACTAAAAGATCCCCTCTACATATTTGCAAGATACAAAGTTTGCTCAATACTTTTAATTAAGGAAGAAAAAGAAATAAAAGTAATAAGGTCTTGCTTTGTTCAACACAAAATCTGTTAAAAGGATCCAAACATAATGCAATGACTCTCAGCGCAGTCTTTTTTATTAGGAAAATAATTCACCACTGCAATAACCTATTAAAGAAAAGGGAATACAAAAAAAGGCAAAGTTTATTCCTTAGGAAATAAGTTCACAAAGGACCAAATGTGTGATTCTAGATAAATTTGCTTTGAAAGTTGAAAAACAATGAGAAGAAAACACATGACAGACTTCTTGAGCTCTTCTGAGAACTTATCTCAGGGAGAAAAGGGCAAGGTGAGACCCAGGCACAGTGAGATCAATGCTGCTCATGCTGTCAGATTTTGAACCAGCAGCCATGGACATGACAAAGTTCCAGAATCCTTCTTGTTAAACACAACTGGAAAAAACTGAAGACGAAGATGAGAATAGGAAAAATAAGCTGCTATAGTAACAGAAGCATTTAGTGTAAACTATGAATTCAGTTGCTAATAGTCTTGTTAGAGATGCACAGTACTTTTCTAAACCTAAGTATTATTTTTCCCACCAAGCAAGTCCACTCCGGATCAGGTATGACATTTAACATACCTCATTTTTTAAAAAAGATAACAGATCTGCCAGAATCATCAAAAAAGACAAGTACCATGCATCTTCTAACAAGGAAATGGCTATTTACATGTCTTCTGATATACAGGCATTGATTTAAATATGGTCACTCACGATAAAGACCAATTAGCATAAAAAATCTTTAGAAATTAAAGGCTACATTTTCCCCCAAGAGATTTATTACATTGCTAAAGTCTCAAAAGTGGGGAAAGTAGGATGAGGAGTTACAGACCACCTTCAAGAATGGTGTTTTTGTGGCCAGTAAATATTATGGTTATGTAACATTATGGTTGCTAAACAGAGTAAGATGTAAGGGTTATAAACATTTTTTTAATTATCTAACTTGACTTAGAATTTTTTCTATACTTTTTTCTTTTTTAAAATTTTATTTCCTTCTATGTCGAATCTGAGCTTTTCCGAGGTCCTTTTTTATTACTGGACAAACACAAAAGTGGACAGAGTATTAAAAGGGATGTAAACGTTTCTTATAACATCAAGAGTATTGCTTTGCATTCAGATATGCTTGAGCTAAAGCTTGGAAACTGCACATAAACCCGCAGATTGTCTTACTTGTGCCAAAGTCTGAGAGTCATCCTTACTGATGTGGCCCTAATAGAGCCAGAGGTGACCCATTATTGTCATGCTTTTTACCTCTCTGGGTTTCTTTAAAAACTGGAATGCCCAGAGGGAGTGTTGCACAGGTGAATGCCATCTGTTAGGAGTTAAAGTGGGCACAAGGTGAGAAGCACTGACTTTGACGTCTTAATCCTTTTGACCTAGTAGAAGCCTCACAAATGTCGGCCAGCACAGCGCTGCCCCTCCGAGGGTGGCAGGGGGACATCCTCTGCCTGGGCAGCCCTTCGATTTTGGAGGTCGTAACCGGTGGAAGGCAGCATGGGGCAGAACTGCCTCACCTTCTCAGTCCTCCACACCATGCGGCTATATTCTAGCTCAATACAATCCTCAGTCTCAGTATCTACCGTAACAGCCTGGTTAGCTCTGCTAAACAACCCAAGTGCATTTCAGCTGCCCCTGCAATGTGGAGGGGGAGAAAGCTCTTCAGACACTTCAGCCACAACCATAACACACAAAGGGCTCTTCAAACTGACAATAAAAAGACAAAGAGCCCGATAGAAAAACAGACGAGAAATATGAGTAGGCAAATGACCTAACAGCAAACTCAAATAGCCAGGAAATTTGTGAAAAGGTGCACAACATCACTTATTTTCATGGAAATGCTATTAAAGTAGCAGGAAGGTATCATTTTACATCCATCACACCAAGAAACATTAAGAGGTCTAACAGCCAAAGTTACAAGGGAGGTAGAGAAAACGCACACACTCCTCAATTACTAGTGAAGATGGGATGGATTTTAGGAAAGCATTCTGGCCATTCCTTCCTTCCCTCCCTCCCTCCCTCCCTCCCTTCCTTCCCTCCTTCCCTCCCTTCCTTCCCTCCTTCCCAGGGTCTTGCTCTGTCACCTAGGCTGGAGTGCAGTGGCACAATCATGGCTCACTGCAAACCTCTGCTTCCCGGGCTCAAGAAGCGATCCTCCCACCTCAGCATCCAAAGTAGCTGGGACTACAGGTGCATGCCACCATGCTTGGCTAATTTTTGTATTTTTTGGTAGAGACGGGGTCTATGTTACCCAGGCTGGTCTTTCTTGAACTCCTGGCTCAAGTGATCCACCTGCCTCAGCCTCCCAAAGTGCTGGGATTACAGTCATGAGCATATCCAATGAGAATGCATATCATTAATTCTGTGGTTAGCTAATAAGAAGAAAATGAAAAGTAAGAGCTCCCTCAATTTTTCCTTGAACATTTTTTTTTAAAACTAACACAAAGGTGCCAATGAATTTGAGTATTTTGCTTACATCCATCCATTCCATCCAACTCTCATTCAAATGCTCATTGTGCACCTGCTAAGATCAGGTGCGTGCTTTCTGCCAAGCATTCCAAGAGGAATGTCACGAAGTCTCTGCTCGCAGGAAGCGTACCGTCTGGTGGGGAAAGAGATGCTTCCAACAATAATTCTGATACCTGTGTGATAGGGCTGGCTGCAGTTTCTATATTAATTAAAAACAGAGGCTGGGCTCGGTGGCTCACGCCTATAATCCCAACACTTTGGAAGGCCCAAGCAGGTGGATCACCTGAGGTCAGGAGTTCAAGAGCAGCTTGGCCAACATGGTGAAACCTTTTCTCTACTAAAAATACAAAAATTAGCTGGGCGTGGTGGCGGGTGCCTATATTCCCAGCTACTCGAGAGGCTAAGGTAGGAGAATTGCTTGAACCCGGGAGGTGGAGGTTGCAATGAGCCGAGATAGCACCATTGCATTCCAGTCTGGGTGACAAGAGCGAAACTCTGTCTCGGAAAAAAAAAAAAAAAAAAGATATAACCTGAGATTCTACTCCTGGAGATCTCTTCTATAGAACTAACAGCACCAATAAACACAGTCTTGTGTCAGGATGTTCATTACAGAATCATGTAGGGTGACAAGAAACTGGAAGCAAGGGAATGCCTGCCACCAGGAAAATGGCTGAGTATATAACATATGTTTATATCAGGGAATATTATATAGCAATTAAAGAGGAATAGCATGAAGTTCTGTTCAATGTCTTAGAAGGATATCTGGAGGAACTGTTCAGGGAGAAAAGAGATGCAGAAGAGTGTATAATATGATCCCACTATTATTAAGTAATACACATATCTGTATAGGCAATATACAGATACAGATGAAGAAAAATAAAGGAGATACTATGGGTTGAGGCAATGGTAACTGATGTGAAAGAAGGGAGAAGGGGAAGAGGTAAACACAAAAGCAAAAGCAATAAGATGCTAAGAAAGCATGCATGTGATCACGTGTATACATTTAGGGAAAGTGTGTATACCACAGGATCTCTACAAAAATAAAAAATAATTTTACAAAACAACCCCTGGGGCAGGGTGCGGTGGCTCACACCTGTAATCTCAGCCCTTTGGGAGGCCGAGGCAGATGGATCACTTGAGGTCAGGAGTTCAGAAGACCAGCCTGGCCGACATGGTGAAACCCCATCTCTACGAAAAATAGAAAAAATTAGCTGGGCGTGGTGGTGCATGCCTGTAATCCCAGCTACTCCGGAGGCTGAGGCAGGAGAATCGCTTGAACCTCGGAGGCGGAAGTTGCAGTGAGCCGAGATTGCACCATTGCACTCCAGCCTGGGCAACAAGAGCGAAACCCTATCTCAGAAAAACAAAAAACACTAACCAAAAAAACAAAACAACCCTTGGCTCCTCAGGCGTGTGAGCTCAGGCAGGGCCAGCCCAGCCTTAACTGTGGAGTCTGGTGGGACAGTCCCATGGGGAAGCCCACTGCTGCCCCGCCTGGAGGAGGAAACCCAGCGTGTGGGGCAGCTCATTGTCACGTGGTTTGCTGTGCTCTGCAGAAGGAGATTCTGTATGCACACCCAGGACGTCATGGAAGAGGAGCTTATCCCATTTATCTCCCTGGCACAGAGTAGACACTTGGGGGATGCTACATTAAATGAAATGAACCTGACTCTGTTTCTTTAGCTCCAGCTCACCCGAGTCTCAATCTTCCCATCTGTCAAGAGAAATAAGATTATTTGCCTCTAAACAGGTGGCTGAGATCAGACAGTGCAAATGATGTCACTGTTGGACTCTCCGGTGTTATATAAATTCAAGGCATGAACAAAAAAGAAACTACCGATATTTACTACTCAGACGCATCCACGTTAAGATTTTAGTGGTTAAAAGGCAGTTATTTTTCCATCTGACATTATGTTATTGAACAAAGTAAGTAGTCTAAGTTGGGGGAATCCCCTTGGGAGTTGTTTGAGTACAAAGAGCAAATAAAAAAGAGTAACAGATCCAAGACCCTTAGCCCTTAAATTTATTTTCACTTCCTAAACTGACCTTCATGCAAAATAGGTTGCTTATCACTAAGGTAAAATAAGATAATGAGGAGGTTTAATTAGCCAAAGCCCTGTGATATGCATTTCTTCCTTATCAAATACCCAATGAGAATGCATATCATTAATTCTGTGGTTAGCTAATAAGAAGAAAATGAAAAGTAACAGCTCCCTTAATTTTTCCTTGAAATTTTTTTTTAAACTAACACAAAGGTGCCAATGAATTTGAGTATTTTGCTTACATCCATCCACTCCATCCAACTCTCATTCAAATGCTCATTGTGCACCTGCTAAGGTCAGGTGCGTGCTTTCTGCCAAGCATTCCAAGAGGAATGTCACATAGTCTCTGCCCTCAGGAGGCGTATCCTCTGGTTGGGAAAGATGCTTCCAACAATAATTCTGATACCTGTGTGATACGGTTTGGCTGTGTCCCCACCCAAATCTCATCTTGAATTGTACTCCCGTAATTCCCACGTGTTGTGGGAGGGAACTGGTGGGAGGTAATTGAAACATGGGCGCGGTTTCTCCCATACTGTTCTCGTGCTAGTGAATAAATCTCATGAGATTGGATGGTTTTATAAACAAGAAGCCCTTTTCGCTTGACCCTCATTCTAGCTCATGCCGCAGTCAGCTAAGGAGTGCCTTTCGCCTTCCGCCATGACTGTTAGGCCTCCCTAGCCACGTGGAACTTTAAGTCCATTAAACCTCTTTCTTTTATAAATTGCCCAGTCTTGGGTATGTCTTTATCAGCAGCGCGAAAACAGACTACCAACAGACTGGTAAAGGTGAAATCAGTGCTCGCTCCTTCGGGTGAATTCCATTACATCATCTCCACTGGGGAAGGGGTGGGCGTGGGCAGCTCCTGGGAGCTGATGTCTTAGGGACCCTAACACAGAAGTTCATGCAGTTCAGCATCCCTTCCCCTCCCATGCCCCACAGGGCACAACCACATTGTCATCCACCACCAAAACACATTACCCTTAGTACTCGACTCTAATAAAGTTCCAGTTCCTCAGTTGTATAATGAGGCTTCCAAGCTCCTATTTTAAAAGAAAGTTTCTTGAAGCTAAATAAAAGCACTACTAACATGAAATTAACAGTGGAAATCTCTGAGTGCAATTTCAGGGTGAAAAAAACTGAAAAGACAAATGCAGATTTTAGATATTTCAAGGAAGGAGAGAGAGTAGTGTTGCTGGTACCATGCCTCTGCACTTGCTGTAGCTGAGTTTCATTTGAGTATCCATTATTTGGAAGGAGTTCTTAAATCTAAGCCTGTGGAAGACAATAAATTCACATTAATTATCTCTCCATTTGACTCAATTTTTGAAGAGGTTCTATCCTGATAAACTATCAGATTCAATCCCAGATTCCTCGGTATGATGTCCCTGAATACCAGTATAAAGAATAAAGGAAGAAATCAAAACCTGGATAAATAATCTGTATAAATATGGGCATATACACAAGGTATGACTGTAATATTGACAGTCATCCTATAAAGCACCCACAAAAGTTAATTGTATTATTTTATACTTATGCTTGTGCACATAAAAAAATATTTGACAGGCTAAAGGCCAAAGAACCAGGCACTGTTCTCAAAAGGACATAGTAAATTTGTCCTTTCATACTCAAGGCTACTCACTGTAGCTGGGTTAACCAGGCAGAGTTTAAACCAATATATGTTGGTTGAGCCTGGATCTTAGATGAGAAATTCACACTCATGTGAAATTCACACAGACTTATGTGGAAACACTAAAAACATTTACTTCATCCACCAGTGACTTTAATCAAAGTAGAACAAAATAATTAATACAAGTAATTAGAGTTGACAACTGAAGTGTCAAGAAAACCACAGTTCATCTGTTATCCGTCCATCTCTGTTGAAATATTAATTTACTGCCATATATTAATCTATTTATAAACAGATCCAGACAATTAGAAAAATTAGTCTGGAATCACCAGGCTGAAGGCTTAGCTGAAGTTAAAAGACAAGTAAAAATGCCTCCAAACTGTAAAACCTGAGTTGGGGAATAAATGGTAAAATGTGTAAAAGTTTAGAAAAAGGTTATATGTGGACTGTAAAAAACACACTGGACTCACAGGTAATTATGTGGTGAATCAGAGACGTTTCTTAAATGTCATAAGCCAAACTCTTAGATATTTCTACCACTAGCTAAAAGGCAGAAAAGCACTCTATTAATGCACTTTTTAAAATGAAAATTGCGACGTGTTCTGCCCTTAAAGTGGACCTTTATTTCAGGCCTGCATTACTTTGCTTAATAGATATGGTCCTAAAGATTAAGGTGGTGATCCATTTTATCTTGTAAAAATGCATAATTTAATCTGAGTTATAGGAATTTAAAGCCGCCCTATTTTGAAGGCCTTTGTGACTCAAAGATTTTTTAATTTAATTTTTAGATTGAGAACTACCTGGCTTGGGCTTTTGGTCTTTTTATAATATATATCGCTGTCTACTTTTTTAAATTCTTGGCTGCCTCAAGCTATTCTTGCCTCCAAAAGCTGTCATCATAATATATGAATAAAAACGGCAGAAAATAATTACCCTAATTAGGTTAATGTATTAAGTTGTTTCTACAGCAGTTTCTCTTAAACACCTTATCTTTGTAGTCTTGGCTAATTAGAAATTCGACTAGTGGTATTTATTTTTTCCTTCAAGGGGATTTTTGCTTTGGTAAACCTCGGACATTTGGTTAGTGCAACAAATCACAGAAACTGCTCCAGCGGACTCCGAAAGGAGCGGAAAATTCTTTTGTTTGGGGGCCACGAGGGGTGGGGGAGGGGTGGGGATTCTGGTGTAAGCTTTTGGCTTGCATTCACTTTCTCCCTCCGAAAGTGGGCGACACCAAGTAAGTCCCAATTACAGAAAGAACCCACTGCAGGGTGCCCAGCCGCTTGCCCAGTAAAAAGACTGTAATCAGACAACTTTAATAAAGGGAGAGAAGGAGAGTGGCAACGAATTTCCACATTCCGAACAAGTCTGTCGAAAGCGGAGTGTAGGGAAGGAGCAAGAATGAGGTACTGGAAGATGGTGAGCGGGGCCTTGCAGCAGAATCCCGGGCCCACCTGCCTTCTCACAATCGCGACAGCCGGGCCGGAGAAGGGCAGCCCAGCGAAGGGCACGCCCCGCGCGGGTGCCAGGGAGGCCGGCGGGGGCGTCCGCGGTCGCTGCTCACCTGCGCTCCCCGCTGCCCGGCCCGGCCCGCCTCGCCCACCGAGTCTCAAAGCCCACACTCACCCCATTACCCGCGAAACGCTGCCGGAGCCGGCGGCTGGTCGGGAGTCGGGGATGGTAGATCCCCCTCCAGGCGCCTAGCTGACATTTTGTCCCGGACGGAAAACCTCCGCGCTTCGCACTTAAAGACACAGCGCTCCATTCACACGTCTGCGGGGAAAGAGGGGCCGTCACTTGTGGCCTTCACCCGAAAGTGGTAGGGGAGTCGCTCTGCAACCACCAAGGTCCGCGAGCGACAGACTTGTGTTGGCCAGGGTTTAAAGATGACGCAATAGCTGAGTGTGGTTGAAATGTAACTATTGTTTTATAACTTTGCATTAACCTTCCAAGACCTGGATTCCCGGGCCTGAGTCTCAGAGCGCGGTTTGCATCCTTGCAGGCTGCAGGCACATGATGTCACAAGTTATTAGAAGAAATCCCTCCAACCTAGGTCGGGACAGATGAAGGCGGCGCTTGTTGGTGTTCACCAAAACACCAGCATGGTGTACCAGCTTTGGCTAGATTATACTCAGGTAACGAACAACCCCTGCAACTGAGTAGCTTCAAGTTCAAGGTCCGTTTCTCAAGCGAATTACTGTGGCTGAAGGGAGCTTTCGTAGTACTCCACCAGTTTTCTTCACTCCCGGCTCCAGGCTGAAAGATCAACTTTTCTGGGTCGTGCTCCCTGCTGGGCTGGTAAACCAACTTTGAGGGAGAACGGGGAAGTCCTGATTTGTAGTGTTTGCTATTTCTGTGATGTTAATACTCCCACCATGGCCGATTTCAAGCTACAAACAGTCTAACAAGTGGCTTGCCAAGTTCCTGGAAATGTAACGATTAGCTCTTGTACGTGACTGGCACAAGCTGCTCCTCAAACTCACATTCCGCATGCCTCAGTTCTGCTCAGGTTCTATTGGTCAAAACTTGCTGTCAGTGGGTGGGGAAGTATACCCCTCTCTTAAGGAAGCCTTGCAAGTCATGTGACAATGAAACGGGAGAGTTCCCTGATTTCCCCGTTTTCCCCGCCCTTTGCAGGACATGCAACAGGGCTGTGGCTGGTGTGTTCGGTCTCTGCCCTGCTGAAACCCCTTATGGGAGGTGGAGCATGCAGACGGACGGGTGCAGGAGCTGGGGTGCAAAAGCTGGGGCGCTAGGCTTCCAGCCCCATTGCAGTGTCCAGGGGCAGGAGCCTGTGATTCCTGGAGCCCAAATGGGCTTGTGTTATAGTGTGCTCTTTTAGCCTTACCATCAGCAGATGGTTTAAGTGTTAACCAGCTCAATAGACCCTCTGCATTTTTGCAAGTGCAGAGGGTCAGTCTGACAGCTTTCTGTATCTCGAGCTCTTGTCCCCCCTCCCAGAAAAATCAGGTCACACATGGACTTGAAGGATAGTGAATGCTAGGGAAGTAGAGTAGTGGGGTGGGGGTTATTAGGTGGTAGGGGTGGCCGTCAGTGGGATGGATGGGGAACTGGAAAGGGGATGGAGTAGGAAGATGATCTTCTCCTGGAGTTTGACCGTCCAGTGATGGATTCTCTGACTGTCCCCAGCTGAACTCCTAACATTCCTTCTCTTTACCTGCCGTTCTTCTGCTCTTCTGTTCATCTGCTCATCTTTTGCTGCTGGAGCCTGGTTTCTGGAGTTTATTTGGGTACAGGATAGGGGGTCATGGAGGGCCAAAAGGTAACTTTTGGGCACAAGGGCAGGAATGCCTCTCTTCATTTAGGGCCATGGGTTTCCAGGCTTGAGGGTGGGGCCTTTGCCAGGGAACTGCCTTATTCTACTCGGTAGTTCCCTGTCTTCTGTCCCTATCAACAATAAGTGAGCTGAATAATACTCTTAAAAGGAGGACAAGAAATAACTGGGTAGAATAATACAATCCACCTTTCCAATAATGGTTTCGGAAGAAGAAACTGGTTGGGTGTCTTCAAAGGCAGGGGTCCCCAACCCCGGGCCATGAATCAGTACCCTTTGTACCCTGTTAGGAACCTGGTGGCACAGCAGGAAATGAGTAAGGGGCAAGCAAAAGAGGGAAGCTTCATCTGTATTTATAGCCGCTCCCCATGACTAGCATTGCCGTCTGAGCTCCACCTCCTGTTACATCAGCTGGGGCATTAGATTCTCACAGGAGCACAATTGTGAACTATGTGCATTCAAGGGATCTAGGTTGTGTGCCCCTTATGAGAATCTAATGCCTGATGATCTGTCACTATCTCCTATCACGCCCAAATGGGTCCATCTAATTGCAGGAAAACAAACTCAGGGCTCCCACTGATTCTACATTATGGCGAGTTGTATAGTTATTTCATTATATATTACAGTGTAATAATAATAGAAATAAAGTGCACAATAAATGTGATGTGCTTGAATCATCCCGAACCCATTCCCCACCCTGTCCATGGAAAAATTGTCTTCCATGAAACCAGTCCCTGTTGCCAAAAAGGTTGGGGATTGCTGTTCAAAGGGATAATTTTGCAATGTGAAGGCCAACTATTAGGTTACTACTGTTCTTTAGGCCCAAAGGACACTTTATAGCTGTGGACATCTGATAAAAAGAAAAGTAATGAGTATACTGTTGGTGGGAATGTATATCTAGACACCCATTATGGAAAACAGTATGGAGGCTTCTCAGAAAACTATAGATAGAACTGTCATATGATCTGTCAATCCCACTACTGGTTATTTATCCAAAGGAAAGGAAATCAGTGTATCAAAGGGATCCTTGTACCCCCGTTTATAGCCACACTATTCACAATAGCCAAGATATGAAATCAACCAAAGTCTATAAACAGATCAGTAAAGAAAATGTGATATATATACATAATGGAATACTATTCAGCCATAAAAAGGAATGAAATCCTGTCATTTGCAGCGACATGCAGGGAACTAAGGGCCATCTTGTTAAGTTAAAAAAGTCAGACACAGAAAGGCAAAAATCACATATTCACACTCATGTGGGAGCTAAAGAAGTTGATCTCATGGAGGTAGAGAGCAGAAGGGTGTAGGGGTAGGGGAGTGAAGACAGGCTGGTGAATGGGTACAAGCAAACAGATAAGATGGAATAAGTTCTAGTTTTTGATAATGCAGAAGGGTGACTATAGTTAGCAACAATACATTGTATTTCCAAATAACTAGAAGAGAAGATATTTTTCTTTCTTTCTTTTTTTTTTTTTTTGAGACGGCTCTTGCACTGTTGCCCAGGCTGGGGTACAGTGGTGCAATCTCGGCTCACTGAAAGCTCTGCCTCCTGGGTTCACGTCATTCTCCTGCCTCAGCCTCCCAAGTAGCTGGGACTACAGGCGCCTGCCACCACGCCCGGCTAACTTTTTTGTATTTTTAGTAGAGATGGGGTTTCACCGTGTTAGCCAGGGTGGTCTCAATCTCCTGACCTCATGATCCGCCCGCCTCTACCTCCCAAAGTGCTGGGATTAAAGGCGTGAGCCAGTGCACCCGGCCGAAGAGAAGATTTTTTTCTATGAGTTTGACTTTAATTTCTAAGATTCCACATATACATGAGATCATGCAGTATTTGTCTTTCTGTGTCTGCCTTATTTCACTTAGCATACTCTTCTCTAAGACATCTATGTTGTTGCAAATGGTAAGAGTTCCTTTTTCTTTAAGGCTGAATAATATCCGCGTGTGTGTGTGTGTGTGTGTGTGTGTATGTATACACCACAGTTTCTTTTTTTTATTCATCAGTTGATGGACACTTAGATTGTTACCATATCTTTTGGCTTCTGTAAATAATGCTGCAATTAACATGGGACTGCAGATACTTCTTGGAGATAGGGTTTTTATTTCTTTTGGAAATATACCCAATAGTAGTATTAGTGGATCATATGGTAGTTCTATTTTTAATTTTTTGAGGAACCTCTATACTATTTTTCATAATGGCTGCACCAATTGACATTTCCACCAACAGGGTACAAGTGTCCCCTTTTCTCGAATGCTCACCAACACTTGCTGTCTTTTGACTTTTTGATAATAGCCATCCTAACAGGTGTAAGGTGATGTCATTTTGACTTGCATTTCTCTGCTAATTAGTGATGTCGAGTAGAAGAGAAGATTTAAAATGTTCCCAATACAAAGAAATGATAAATGTTCAAGGTGATGGGTATCCTGATAACCCTGACGATCATTACACATTGTATGCATGCATCAAAATATCGCATATACCCCATAAATACGTATAAATATTTTGTATCAATAAAAACATGAAAAAGAAAAGTAACTAGTATAAATGGCCAGGTGCAGTGGCTCACGCCTGTAATCCCAGCACTTTGGGAGGCCCAGGTGAGTGGATCACTTAAGGTCAGGAGTTCAAGACCAGCCTGGCCAACATGGTGAAACCCCATCTCTACTAGAAAAATACAAAAATTAGCCGGATGTGGTGGCGGATCCCTGTAAGCCCAGCTCCCTGGGAGCCTGAGGTGGGAGAATTGCTTGAACCCAGAGGTGGAGGTTGCAGCGAGCCAAGATCGTGCAACTGCACTCCAGCCTGGGCGACAGTGTGAGACCCTGTCTAAAAAATAATAATAAAATAAATAAAAAAGAAAAGTAACTAGTGTAAATGAATCAGGTTAAAGTCATCTCTAATTCATGTTTAAATATTTGAACAAATTTGTACAGTTTACTGTATCTGGCAGTTCTTTTAAGAAGAAGTTTTATTAGTTTGAGTGTCTAAAAGAATCCATTTAACTTTAAACTGACCACGTAATGAGATACATGATCTTTTCATTAGTTCATAGAGGAGTTTTTAGTAAGTGCTGGTTATAGGCAAAGCACTATCTTAAGCCTAAGCAGGAGTCTGGAGACTATTCCTGCCCTCAAAAGGATTACACTTCAGTATGACAGTAAGACACATGCAACTCCAAGAAGAAAGTAAAAAATTATGTAAGAGGAAATATTCAAGTGCCATAATAAATTGAGAACGGCTACATAGTTTTGAAAGTGGCAGCATTTTATCAAGGCTTGAAAAGGAGTAGGATTGGACTCCTGGCATTATATGTTTATTATCTTAACGAGATGTATTTTCAAAGTCAGATAAAAGGAGCTTATCTTATTTGTGAGTCAGTGCTTAAATTTTCTTAAATTTTGTGAGTCATTGCTTAAATTTAATATTTTTCTAAATTCTT